GTGTGTGTGTGTGTGTGTGTGCTAATGAATTGGATTGTTAATTAGTCAATGAATTAGCATGGCTCCATTCTCTCAAGAACACGGTATAAAAGCGGAGCTTTTCCTGCCCAACTGCACCTGTTCAGCATCTCCTCATCCACCACTATACACCTTCCACCACCCCAGCCACTGACAACCACTGCTCTGCTGCTTGCTATCTGGATTTTATTTGAAGTTCCCCTTAAAAGTGATTTCATGCCTTACTTCTATTTGCGTGTTTCCTGACTACTCTACAACTGTTTCTATCATAATAGTCACATTCTGAAAGCTCTCCGTTTGTTTTTTTGTTGTTGTTTGCTGATGTTTAAATGTGACCCTCAAAGCTGAGAGATACATAGACAATAAAAATGCATTTTTTTATCACCACTTTGAAGACCCTCAAGCCAAATCTTCCCATGATAGTTCCCATGACTCCGCACAAGTCTAGGGCCCCCTTCTGTACTCACAAGAAAGCCTCACACATGGAGCATGTGTTGCCATGGAGTTTCCCATCGGGGCCCCTGATTGGGTCATTCTCTCTGGTGCAATATAGTTGTCCATTCTTTCTGACCTTGCGATATCCTTCACACAGCTTCTGCAAGGTCAAGGGAGAATGTGGAGTTAATCAACGCATGTTTTGTCAGAATACAAAAGTTACTGACATATGAATGCTTATTTCTTAATAGAGAGGGGCTCTTTAATTTCAGGATAAGTAGGGGGTTAGCCTAAAGTAGATTTAAACTTTGAAAGAAGCATAAATATTGGTGTTTGTGTGTGTGTGTGTGTGTGTGTGTGTGTGTGAAGGTCTCAAGACACACATTACAGAAATCACAGGAAACTTTCAGGAGTTGGTCCTTGCCTTCAGTCCACCTTGTCCAGGCAAGTTCTCTCTTAGATTCTGTTGTTGCATGCGTGAGTACTCCAGGCCATCTGGTCAAAGAGTTTCTTACTGTAGGTGTGCTGAGATTACAATGGCCCACATCAGCTTTATTTATTTTATTAATATAGATTCCAGTGATTTAACACAAAGTGTCAAGCTTGGTACCCTGCACCTGTTCCTGTGAGTCATCTCCCTAGACCTAAAGTGTGGGTTTTAAGCAAGATACTAAGATGCAGATAGTTTCTGTAGTATCTCAATGGTAGTGTAAGGGAAAGGACAGTCTAGAGGGAAAAGCAGGAGACGTTCATCATCAAAACAACAGGTGATGATAAGATAGACAAGTCTCTGGAGATGAGTTTTGCAACATTTCAGACTTAAAAATCATGTTTTCTGACCTGATGGAGTCTAAGCATGTAAAGACAGTTATCACCAAGCCCGATGGTCTGAGTTCAATCCCCAGAATGCACGTGGTAGAATGAGAGAACCAGGATCTTCAAATTATCCTCTGACCTCTATTCTCCATATGTACTCCTTGGTAACCATGTACTGACACATATATGGGAGCAGGCATGCACACATAACACACACACATGTGCATATACACACACAGAGACACAGGCATACACACATAAACTAAATGCTAAACTCTCTTTTAAGTCTTGCTGTGGTTTTGTGTGTGTGTGTGTGTGTGTGTGTGTGTGTGTGTGTGTGTGATTGCCCCTTTTTCCCCCTTGAGACAGGGTTTCTCTGTATAACAGCTCTGGCTATCCTGGAACTCACTCTGTAGACGAGGTTGGCCTCAAACTCACAGAGATCAACCTGCCTCTGCCTCCCGAGTGCATGTGCCACCACTGCCCAGCTAAGTCATGCTTTTTTGAAAACATTCTTTTAATTCATAATTCGGCTGTGAAGTTACAAGACTGCAACACAAGAAAGGTACGTGGAGCGATCCCCTGGAAAGTAGTTTGCAAAGGCTAACACCTTTGTGTTAAAACTAGGAGTAAAGGTCAAATTCTCCCATTCTAGTACGTTCTCTTAACAATAAGAATGTCTTGGTTTCACATAGCATCCATTAAGGTGGGGCCCCACTCACGGCATATGTTTCTGAGTCTTCGGACCCTCTTCTGCTTCTGGTTCCAGCTTCAGCATTCTTCTGCTCTTCAGCTTCTGCTTTGCTGAATGAAAATAAATAAATAAAAGAGATCCACTGATTTCTGCTCATTGCTCATTTCTTCCTTTGCAGCCTGGGGACAAAGGATTGGCCCCTTTATCACTGTGCAATAACAAGAGGTAACAAAACTCCTTGCAATGTGCTATCATCCCATACAGTCTTCAGAGTTTCCCCCATCAAAAGAGAGGTGTCAGTAGTAGGTCTGTAAACACGCTTTCTATTAACTGTCTTTCTGTTTGTGGTGAGGAAACGACCATCAGTTTTCATCAAAGAAACATCAACATTGGAATCGCGATGACTTTATACTTAGAGGCTGAGAAAGACCTTCAGAAAACAAACGGACACATCTTCTCTATTATCAGGAAAGATGAGAGGCAGAGCGGTCTCAGCGATGCTCTCAGATCAGAGTGCACCAGTGCCTTCACTCACATTTCTGGTCTGTCTCCTATGTCATGCACATCTTGTTTTCATTTGCACTTAAATGTATTGCTCATACCTGACTGTTTTATTGAAAACACAAAAGTGCAATTCATGGATATAGCCCAATGATTGATTGATTTTATAAATATATATATATGTGTGTGTGTGTGTGTGTGTGTGTATGTGTACTAAAAAGCCTAAAATTGTTGTATAACAAAATTATATTGTATCTACAGTTAATTGATAGCATTTAAAACATATATGGCTATCAATGAAAACAAAATATTTTTGTATTATAAATATAATCAAGTACTTCATGTAAGTTCAGTGAAATAATGTGAAGAGTATTCTAAACTGTGAAAGAGAGGCAGTAACTCTAACTTGCTGAGAAATTTCACAGCGTGGAAAGTACTATTTCAGGTGATTTTATAGGTGTTTGTGTTTGTATATGGTATGTTTGCTTGTGGACCTTAACTCAGTTCAGTCCTAGTGTTAGAATTTAACCATCTTAGAAATGCTTAGAAGGTTTGCACAGGATACTTCCAATATTTATTCAGGTTCATGTTTTAGCAAATTCCCAGGTTAAGAAACAGAAAATAGGCATCTTAAAGCAAGTAACAAAAAGCACTTACTCCTAGCTCCATATTACTAACATTTTCCATGTAGCTGACTCAACTGCCTTGTTATTTTGAGTCAGTTTTCCGGGAATGAAACAAGCTGGTCCTGCTAGGTCATGTGTAAGGATCTTTTTCTTTGCCTCACCTCAAAACTCCATACTCACAAGAAAGCCTGGCACATGGAACACAAGTTGCCATGCGTTTTTCCATCCAGACCTTGAATAGGGTCATTTTCTCTGGTACAGAAAAGTGTCCCGTTCTTTGCACGATCCCGGAATTCACTACAGCGTTTCTGGACAAGGGAGATGAGACATTTTAGGTGCAGGACTATGTGCTACATCTGTATTTCTCAGCATTGCTTATAAGTTAAATTGGGCAAGAGGAATAAATGGGGAAAACCAATACTTTAAAGATTTAGGACTTTAAAGTGTTATAATTCCATCCTTGTAATGTTCATTTGCAGCAACTGTGTTCATAGTCATACTATTAATAAACATATTATAAATCATTATAAATGCAAAATGCTTTAGTTTCCTTTTCTAGACAAGTTGGAAAAATAAGTAATCGCCATACACAAAATTAAAAGATGTACCTGGGTCTGAATTAAGTATATTCTAGTACAAATGAAAGAATGAATCATCAAAGTTCCAAGCACTCTTGATTTAGCTTTATTCTGAGCATATAGTCAGGAAAATCATAAGGTAAATTTTTTCCCAAAAGCTATTATCATTGTCACAGTCATAGAGGCAGTGACTGGCATATTTAATTGAGGCAATATAACATTTCAATAAATATAGCAGTTCAAGAATTAGTTGGGGAATGATAGGGAGGTTTTGAAAGAAGTTAAAATGATGCCTTTAAAACCAGTTACAATATGCAAACATTGAGAGGAATTTAGGTTTTATTCTTATGAAATGAGATCATGATAAATATTTATACTAAAGCATAACAGTATTACATCTTTGTTTTAGAAGCAATGACAACCAGGTCTGTGATGCTTTGAATGAATAGAGATTAACCTTAAAGAAATTAATTATATTATTAAAAGGGAAGGAGGGAGGAAGAGGAGGAGAGAGGGAGGTAGGAAGAGACCACAAATGAAAAATAAAATACTATTTCAACACATTTAAATGGGAGTATTAGAAGGATTTGGCAATATACGATGAAGAGCAAAATGGAAGGTGAAAATGAGGGCTAAGCAGAGATAGAAGGCAGCGGATTGCTTTGTAGAACTGTAATCAACATACCATAGAAGACCAAAGAATTACAAGAATTGGGTTGAGTAGGATTTCTACAGTAGTAGGAGGTTTTCTATTATTATAATAATGACTGAAAACAACTGGGAAGGATAGAATTTATTTCAACTTAGAACTCTCAGGTCACGTGCCCCTGCCGAGGGAAGTCAGAGCAGAGGCATTAACGGAAGCAAAGCCTTGGAGGAACACTGCTTACTAGATAGTTCCTTATAGCTTCTTCCGGCTACTTTTTCATGGAACCCAGGACCACCAGAGTAAGAGTAGCACCATCTACAGGGAACTGTGCCTTCCCACATTAATCTAGAATAGGTCACGTGGGGGGTGGTGCCCACAGTCATTTTGGTGGGAGCATTTTATTCGATTGGTGTTCCCTTTTCCCAAATGCCTCTAAGTTTTGTCAAATTGCTATAAAATTGTCTAGAATGTGGAACTATTTTACTAATATGACTTGGTGTTTTCCTCCAAATGGATGTAGATATTTAGCATTGTAATTTTGTTTTAAGCATAGAACAATAACTGTAATAAAATTTTCAGGATTGGGGATAATATTAACCAATATTGACAATATTGACAATGTATTCTGAAGTGGTATGCTTGAACACACTTAACACAACGAAAGTCACAGATAGTTTGGCTCACTAATCCTTACCTCAATTTCCACTTTAGCTTTAGCCCTTTCGTCAGTGTCTCTCTGTTTTTTCTCTGCTTTACTTTTTTCTTCCGAAAATTGTCTCATGCTGGAAAAACAAAATGAAAAGTAATGTTTCATATCTTCATGTTGCCCAATCGTCATTAGGCACAGATTGAGCACTGGAGCTTTCCTGATGTTGGTGAGGCACCTCATATTTCCAAAAAGCCCTTTCATTTTGCATGCATACACATACATATGCACATGCAAGTACATACTTATGTGCATTAATATTTTATATCTTCCTTACTTTTAAATCTCCCCATTTTAGATTGTATGTTTTAAAGGAGGTAATAAGCTTTATATCTGTTGGTGTTTTTATTGTTGAATTTTATTTTACTGAATAGATTTTGTTCTGTTTTGAAACATGCAAATGTGTATACACAGACCCATGCATTCCCTCCCTGGAAGCTTTAACCTTATGGACAGCAGGGTTGTCATTCCTGTACACTTTATTCAGTCATCACTCTGTTAGCACCTAATTTGGGGGACAACAATGCACCCAGTCTTCAAAAACAAATCAAACCTATCCATTGTTCTCTTAGAATTTACAGCCTTGGAGAGAACAGTAAAAGTCAACCAATAATCTTAGAGGTAATTACATAATTGCCGATTGTGATGATGGTTATGAAAGACCATAACTAGGGATTATGAAGATTGATTTTCAACTGGGAAGTAGAAAGAATTATCTAAGGTAGACAGTCTTAAAACAATCTACAGGGAAAGGGAACGCTATCTTCTCCGAATACAAAGACGCCTGCGTTAAGACACTACTCAGCTCAATGTGTTTGCTCACACTGGTGAGTCCAACATTTTGGTGGCTAAGGCCAGAGGTTTGTAAAATGTTTGAGAGTAGTCTGAGCTAAATAGTGAATTCCAGCCTAACCTGGACTACAGACTTTTATCAAAAAAAAAAGAGAAAAACATAAGTTCATAACTCAAAGGATATGCAGTGTAGCAAGGCCTTTATGAGCTGTGTTGTGGATTCAGCCTTTGTCTGTGACTTATGGTCTCAGACGATGCCATGGATGTAAAGAATTTTTGAAAATGTCCTGTCAACCCTTACATAATTAGTTAATTACTGAATATAAAGTCTTTCCCCATTCTGTACTATGACTGGTTCACTAAAAGCTCACAAAGAAACCAAACTCATGAGAGTCACGGAAGGTGTTGTAAGCCTGCTTTCTAAGAGGAAAGTGGAACGAGTTTGTACTCAGATACAGACACATACCATTTGCCAGATAGGCTTATGGTTTTAGGAGGATATCAATCTTTTCAAACACATCACAGTGGCAAAAAGCTCCACTCCCAATTGCTGTCACTCATCCATCAGTCTGCTTCTCCACCTTCCCGGTGAACTGAGGAGTAGCTGATATACTCACAATATATCAGCACACAGGGCACACTTGTTCCCATGCATCTTGCCATCAGGGCCACGGATTGGGTCACTTTCACGGGTACAAAAGAGTCTTCCACTTCTCACTTGGTTTTCAAACTCCTTACAAAGTTCCTTTGGGGTGGGAAAAGAAAACAAGCAAATATATTTGTCATTTTCCGTTCTTTAATCTTGGCATTTTGAATAATAGATTTATAATCACATAATGACAAGTCTGGGAACGTTGAGAAACACAAGCACTATCTAAATGAGAACTATCTAAAAGTAAATTTTTTGCCAAGTTAACTGACACTTGTAGCATCTGTGTGGGTTATTTGTTAAAGTAAAGGAGCCGTGGAAACAGTAAGGCTTTGCAAGCCTTTTCTAAAACTAAAAGCAGTTCTTATTGTTTTCAAATATTCAGGGAAATAATAAGGTCTTTCATGATATTCGCACACAAGCCCAACTGAATGAGAATATTGAACTTTTGAAAATTTGCTTTAATGTAACTTGAAAGTCAAGAGCAATGTAGCATTTGCAAAGAGACAGGAGCAAGGTGTATCCGGCCATTATATGAATACTGCTTCTATTTTTTTTTTTTGAAGAAGGCTTCTCTTTTATTGCTAGAAATCTGATGGGAATTCTTTACCTAAACGTCTTTTTATCCCTGTAAAGAACCGGCCCCAATATGGGGTTGTACACTCTCTAAATTGCTTCATTATATGTTCTTTTATCTTCTAATGAGTATGAAAGGACAGTTTGGGGGAAAAATGAATACTGCTTCTATTGACTCTATTCATTTCTGACTATGTAGGTGACAAAATCTCAGAGAGAGGGAATGTAACCCCCTCTTCTACCTTGATCAATACAAACTCTCCTTACCTAGAAGTTCTAAAACAGACATGATTCAAAAATGCAAATAAGATTCGTTGCCAGTCATCTTGATAATTTGATTCTGAACTTTCTGAATTCTATTGTTTGGTAAAGAATAACACACACACACACAGAGACATGCACATACACATGCACACATGCATACATGAATACAAGCAGTACTAGGCTTGAGGACCTCTATGTGAACTAACCTACATTGTTTTACTGTAGCTCAATCTATAAAAACAATGATTAACTGTGTGACCTTCAACTTTTCACCTCAGCCAAGACAGCGTAAGCAGCAGGCAGAGAAAAAAAGTGGTGACTGCACTGTGCATCTAACTCAGTGTGTGACACTAACAAAGTCATAGCACTTTTGGAACCTCGATGTTATCACCTACATAGCGAGATTTTTCTAGCTAAGTATTTTAATTTGCACTTTTAGTTCCAATTTCTTTCTGAAGATGCTTTTTAAAAAAAATCCTTTCTGCACTAGAATAAGATGCTTGTTTTGAAAGAAGTGATATGTATGTCCTACACTTTCTGCATAACAAATTCGGAATAAGCAGCAAAGCAGCCACCTGATCATCATAACACAGCCATAAAATCAATGCTCCATGATTTCCATAACAGCAACAACAATAATTCCAGTTTATAACTTATGATTCATTCAAGAAGATTCTGAAGAAGCACTTTGTGAGCAACTCACTGACAGGTTAATTACAGGGCAGACACTGAGCCATCATTAAAAAGCAGTCCTGATCAGTCCAGTGGTGCTTAGTGACCCTGGCCAACAAAAGGAAGAGGCTAGGATGCTTGGGACTTGCTGGAAAACAACCCTTTTTACATACAATAGATGGGAAACATGACAGGTTAGCCCAGAGTTCCAGGCTGAAATACACAAAGCTCACACAAAGCTTGGTATTCCTTCTTTGACTAATGGTCCATGGAGAATTATGGGTATTGCAGATGAAAACACAACATAACCAGAAGGTAAGAGTGAGGTCTTTTAGCCAATGTCCTTATTTTTCTGACAAGAAAATTGAGGCCCGGAGAGGAGGTCCTTTGCTCTCAATACCCACAGCATGGTAGAATGAAGACCAAAATCCAGGTGTCTCCTCTTTCTAGCAAAAGTCTGGTGAGTTAGTTAAGTTAATGCTACCGTTCCCATTGACATAGGGGTCTAATAACCCTGGTGATTTAAGATGCCAAGGCTGAATTTATAACATCAAACAAATATCACGAAATTGAATTTTAAGAGTATTTTTAAGCTACCATCTCTTTATTTAAGCAGAAAGCAAGACCCTATCAAGAAGGGTCTTATTGAAGAATGACCACATAGAAAAGTGAATAAGAAATCCATTTCTTCTAATAGAATTTTAGAGTAAAGCACTATTATATACACTGCTTAAGAGACTGAACTATTTAGAAATTTTCCTACCCAGTAATGTTACTGTTATGTATAAGGTTTTATACAAGTTTTTAAAAATGTATTCAAAGCAAAATGGTTCTCTCTCTCTCTCTCTCTCTCTCTCTCTCTCTCTCTCTCACTCACACACACACACACACACACACACACACACACACACACAGAGAGAGAGAGAGAGAGAGAGAGAGAGAGAGAGAGAGAGAGAGCTGATAGAAATGACCAAGCACAAAGTATACTGGTACATATGTATAAAGCTGTCACCAGGTAACTATTTTTATGCTAACCTGAAAAAAATTTATAAAAGGAAAAGAGATCAATGGAATTGTGTGTGTGTGTGTGTGTGTGTGTGTGTAAAATTTGTTTTTCCCTTCCTTTTGTGAGGGGAAGAAAATAAAGGGTAGGAATGATATGTGTTGAACTTTAGATGAGAAAAGCTGGTTTCAAATGACCCAACTGATAAGTATACTCGAAACAGGATAATCGAGGAATTCTAATTAATATGAAATCCATGCAGTAATATGAGACAATGACATTATTCTGTTCCTTCAAAGGTGCAAGTGAGTATAGGCCCACAGGCTTCACTGTAACAGCGAATCATTTACCTTCTCAGCATCTCGCCGAATTCTGCTCTCTCTCGCACGTGTGGCATTTTCTCGAGCTTCTTTTATACTGTCAAGGGAACAGAACCCTCTTACGGTCCAGGCCTCTTTTCAGTGTCCACCCTGTTCTGAGGCACTGAACACTTCCACATCCTTTACCATAACCTGTCGAGACCAATCCCCTCACGGGAGGCAAGCACTTCCCTGTGTTGGATGCTGGCGCCCTAGACATTGCCACAGATAAGGAAGGGTGTGAGGCTGACTCATAGCCGGTCAATTAGGAGCTTTGTTCTGCAGAGCCAGCTGGGTGTGCCACTGTGAGTGACAAACAGAAGATTGCCAGGAAAATTCCCTCCGACAAGCAGAACCAAGAGCCTTGAAACAATGCTCTGACAAGGTGAAACCAAACTGAGCCTTTCAGGTATTGCCATACCACACCCTTCTGGGCCACATGTTAAACCAGATGTTGATTTGCCTTCACGTCAGAGCAGGGTTATTTATTTCTAAAAGCTAAATTTGAACTCATCTCGAACCCATAAGTAGTCTCAGTCTGCTGTCCCGGGCTCATCCTGAGGAAATCCATCTAGAAAAGTCAGGTTCTCCTTGTCTGTTAGGCTTAAAATAATTAATAAACGAAGCCAAAAAGCTACAGAATTCAGGGCAGTTTGAACAGACGCTATATTATCCTATTAATCTTCATTATTATTGTTACCACTTTACAGTACTATTTAAAATTAGGTATCATTGCTCAGTGAGGGTCCCTACATGAGCCCAAAGGAACCCTGCACGCCAAATGACCAATTTTTATTATCCAATACTTAAGTCTTTCTAAGTCAGTCTTTTTTTTAATCATTCTTTTTTTAAAAATAATGTATAAGGTACTAGATATCATTACAGCATTTAAAACAATGCTTGTTTCAGCCAATTCTCCCTGCTCTTTATTTACTCTAGCCTTCCCCTTCAAGTCTTAAAAGTATTATATTATGAAACATTGTGTTTCTTAAAGGCATTATACATTTTAAGATGAAGTTTCAAATTTTTCTTTTAGAAATTTTATAGTAAAATGAAGAAAAAGGCAAGAAGTCCATCTTGTACCTAGACCTATTTCACATTATAAAGACAAATGTTCACAGGAATCATGAAGAGGACTTTACTACTCTGGGCTCTCAGGGCAGGAAATAAGGGCCTCTTCATATGTCCATCTGGGGATGCTACTTACAAGAGCTCAGCACACATGGCACATCTATTGCCATGGGTCCTCCCATCAGGACCACGGACTGGATCATTCTCCCTTGTACATCCGAGTCTTCCATCTTGCACATAGGCCCGAAAGTCACTGCACACATCCTAAAGAAGGGGGGAAGGAGATGACACATAGAGGCTTGCAATACCATGCCCAGCGAATGCTGGTCCCAGAGAAAGAGCTTTGTGAATCTGTGTCACTTGCATTTAAGTACAAAACTGTTCAGTTTCTTATTTGCTTGTTCAAAAAGAGCGCTAGAACTCAAGTGGATCACTGTCCTTGCTCTCAACCTGTTCGCAATGTCCTAGGTGCTAAAGGCAAAAAGACCTTAAAACAGGGAGTACTGAAAGTCTTGGAGGAGGCTGGCAGCTTCAGGGACCAAACCGTGAAAATAAGAATCGGCATTCAACTAGGAAATTAAATGTGATCTGTATGGTGCCTTCCATCTTCCTCTAACTTCATAAGCTCACAGAACCTTAGCTAGAAAATAGCTACTTAGTTAAATCTCATTTCTGTAAGTGTTCAGTTCAGGGGTTCCTCACAGTGAGTGGCTGCCCTGAGGTTTCAACTCTGGGGCAGTGATGGAGACATATGGTGTCCATTCGCCACTCGCTTCTCGGGCAATTTCTTTAGTTTCCTTCCTTCCTTCCTTCCTTCCTTCCTTCCTTCCTTCCTTCCTTCCTTCCTTCCTTCCTTCCTTCCTTCCTTCCTTCCTTCCTTTTCTTCTTCTCTCTCCCTCCCATCTTGTTTTTTAATAGCAGAAATAGAGTTGAACTTCTTACTATCAGAGTAAAGTGATTTGGTTATCTGGTTTCAAGAACTCATTTCTTTCTTCCCTGTCAATAGAAAGGATGCAGAGTTTCAGAAAAGTAAGAAGCACCCCTTCCTAACATCCCAACCTAAGGAGAAGCACAGCTGCTTTTGTCTTTGCTTGCTGGTTCTCAACTCGTGAGTCGAGATCCCCACAGGGGGCTCACATATCAGGTATCTTGCCTATCAGACATGTACATTACAATTCATAGTGGTAGTAAAGTTATAGTTATGAAGTAGCAATGAAATAATTGTACGGTTGGGGTTGACCCCACATGAGGAACTGTATTAAACACAGGACGGCCGAGAGCCACAGCTTCCCACCGAAGCTAGTGTCCCCCGCCTGGCGCTTGTCCTTACCTTCTCGAAACTGCTGCTGCCACATTCGCCTTCACTTCTTATGTCAACTTGTCTCTTGTTTTTCCTGGAATCAAAAAGTTTGTTGACACAGAAATTAAGATGATAGAATGGCCCATCCTGTCTCCCTCCTCGCTGTATTCTAATGCCTTCTGTACCTGAAGACAGTGTTATGGTTTAATGTTTACTTAGCTTGCATAGTGAGAGACCCTGTTTATAACTTAAAAAAAAAATCACAAGGAAATAGAATCCTCTTGGAGGGTTAGGGTTCAGGCTCATAGTTGGTACCTCTCTAAAGACTTTTCTGCTTCTGGTAGCCATTTTTTAATTTTTATAAAAAGTCCAATTTTCATTTTTCTAGTTTTCATTATTGGACTCTTTTATGGTAATTTATTATACCTTATTTTTTTCATGGAAAGCACATAAAGTCTTATAATTAACTTTGCTCAGTCAAGTAGAACTTTAAAGAACACAGAAAACAGAAGCTTAATTGTAAAATAATTTCCACTTTCTATAGAAGAAGCTTATAATTCAGCATGTGGATAATAATAAAAAATGCAAAGCTCAGACAAAACTAAAACTGGAAAGTTAATAGGAAAAACAGATTTTCAAGATACACAGGCAGACGGAAAGTATTAAAAAGTAACCTGGAATAGTGTGAGATGTCTTCTGAAAGTAAGAGCAAGAAACAAAACAGAGTCATATGGCATGCTCAGAGAAAGTATCACACGGATCAGAGGTTTAAAAATTTAAACTAGGAACTCTCACTTATGATATAGTAAGAATTAAATGTTCAGTGCGATTAAAGTAGTATTATAAGATGCATGCTTTAGAAAAAGTAGAATGTTCTTTATTTGCCTATTTAGCTTTTCTATTTTAAAATTGTATTGCTTTATTCATGTGTTGATCTATTAATTTATTTTTTAGTGTGAGGGGTAGGGGTGGGTGTTCTTGTGACATCATGCAAATGGAAGCCAGGGCATAACAGACTAGAGATGGCTTTCTCTTTCTACTATGTGGGTCTTGGAAATAGAACTCAGACTGTAAAGCTTGCTGGCCACCTCACTGGTTCTGGTTTTATATTTCTATATATTCATTCTTTCAGCAGTCTAGAAATGCAATCATGAATAGATCAGAAGGGATAACTGCAGTTTTATTTTAGTGAAAGCCTTATAAGAAGGGACAAAGTATTAAGAATCTCAAAGAGTAATTATTGCTCAGTTAGCCTACTGAATATCAAATATTGGACATTGTGTTTCCAGAAACAAAAGAGCAGTTCATTCAAGTTCGAGGTCATGAATGGAGGCTGCAAAGCAGGTGTGCATCTTGCTTGTAAAAGAAAATTAATAACCATAATAAGCATCGAGGGTGGAGGAAAGACACAAGGAGTAAGGTAGGCCAGTGAGATGTAATATCTATTTGGCAAAGAATAGATATTTCTATTGAAATATTCATTTCAATATTCAAAAATTCCAATTACATTCTATATAATATCTTAATTTCCTGATCACTTAAATGTTATTTGATGATGATGACACTACACATAAAAGAATATAATCAGAGATTAGCAGACTGATAGATGATGGAAGATAGATATACATGCTTGGGTATATTAGCATCTATTTATATGTATGCATTTGATTTGCATGTCCTGTTTATTTCACAGAGACTGCGGTCATTGCCAAAATGCTTGAACTCAGAAGTGCTTTGTAAGATATGAAATTTTTACTATGTACATTTCCCCGGAAGAGTAGAAAAGGAAGCAGTGCACACATTTTATTAGAGATTAATTTGCAGCAGATGAATTACAAATGCTGCCGGTGGGGGGGGCATGTCATGTAACTGCACAGACATCACGTCTGCTCCATAGAATACTCACTCATTCTCGGCACACAGCTCACACCTGCTGCGGTATGTTTTCCCATCTGTGCCGCAAACTGCAGAAGCCTCAGAGGTACAGATAAAACTCCCATCATTTCCTCTTTGCTTGAAATCCTCACAATTCAGCTGCATGAGACATAATCGAAGAATGTCAAAAAGTCAAAATATCCCTAAGAATACTCAAATAAGTTAGTATCTTAAACCCAGAACATCACGCGCTGCAGAAAAAAAAAATAAATGTGAAGGTCGGTGAGCTAAAAAAATCTTGACTGCTCTTCAGACTCGAGGGGGAGAGGAGTGGGAGGAGGGGGAGGGAAATGGGAGGCTGGGAGGAGGCGGAAATTTTTTTTTAAAAAAAAAAACTTGACAATGGAGTGTAGTCTGAAGGCAGAGATAGGGTTAAATTTGAGCAGAAAAGATTTTTGTATGATTTCAGCCACCTACTGTCTGAATGAGATAGGCCAAGGCCTCAATAATGAAACTGTACACACTGTGTCTCAGAGGATCATTCTGCCTCCACAGAGTGATAATGAGCCCCAGCAGACGAGGGGCATAGAAACCCTCTGTAAAGTATCAACTATGGAAACGTTCCATTATTATATATACATTAGGATAGTGATAAAGTCAGATTTCCAGCTTCCCCATTCTACTGCTACCACTGTGTGATTTGAGAAGGTAATTTAACCAGTCTATACCGAAGTATCTCCATTTACAGAGAGGGTATAATCTCACCAACTGCTGATGCCCCAGAGATATTTAAGCTTTTAATGTAGGCCCTTTAATTAGGAAAATCTGAACACAAAATGGTTTGTGATCTTGTTGTTATTTAAAACGCCGTGTCTACTCACAACCAGGGAATGCAAACTAACTATCCTTCAAGGGTGATGATAGAAATCTCCAGGTCACTGCTGTAATAGCGTGACGTACGCTTGAGGACAAACCTGTATGGTGAGAAAACAAGTGTGCCCGGCAGTAACTGAAGACAAGTCTTCCAACCTTAGGTCTGCAACCCACTCAGTTCACCTCTTTGAACCCCACTTTCTTCATGTGAAAAATGGGAACTCACACCCAGCCCACATTCCACATTCAAGGCCAGGATCAAAGAAACAATTAGGAAACGTGATTTGGAAATAATTATTGTGACATAAGCTAAACAAAAATTACGTCGTGTAATTTCATTGTAGCTTCCACCTAAAACCCAGCTCCATTTAACTGTCAGTATCACACTGAGAACCAATTTTTGGTGGTTTTAAGATATTTCAATAGTATGTATAGAACATATGATATGTGCCAGTGATGACTTAATAGAGCACAAATATAAAAAATAGAATGTATGCAATTACAGTGAATTTAAGAGCAAGAGGATCAGATTGGAGAATTCTAGAGGGTAAAAGATTAAAGCGGCAAGAAAAATGACAACATCGTCCCTCCTACTAACTGTCCCATGTGTTTCAGGACAAGTTACAGGAAGGAAATAAACTCACATACATGTTATTGCACTCATTTATATTCTCACTTATTCTAGAAAATTCGTGACAAATTTATAAGACTTTGGGAAGTCTACTGTTTTGTAGGATTGCATTGTAAACAGAGCTAGGATACTGTTCTGCGGTGTTTTGTATGCTAACAGGAAGATCACAGCCACGTAAACAACACTTTCATATCATGGTAGGTGCTGCAAAAATAAGCCCTAGACACAGCTACAATATGCTTCACTGAAATATCAAAGTGCTAGAAATTTCTTTCTGAAAAGATTATTTTGTGGTGAAGTGATATTAGTGAGAAGGAGCCGACCCGCAGAGAGTTGAGGAAGAGCGGAAAAGGGCAAAGATTTGTCGGAGCGGGATCATGCTGTTTGAGCAGCAGAAGAAAGTGTGGTTGTCACAGAGGAAAGGGCAGGTGAGCTGCTGACTTTCTATAAGATGTCATTTTTATAAGGTGTAGAAACATCCATAGGAAACTGTGGATCAAAGTGACTGACATAGAACAACGTGGCCCTTGCCCTTCACCAGAAAAACCAAGGGCAGCATACTAGGTCACAGCTGTTGGCTGGGGGACAACAGGGTGAATCAAAAGGCCAGCTGGGAGGTTACAGAACAGGTGCAGGCATTTATTACTCCACCTCCTTGTCCTCCAGACTCCAAGGATGGTGAATCACAACCTACAGAAAACACCTCTTCCTAATGTTGACAATTATCAAGCACTTGCAGATGGATCCTGACCAGGAAGAGAGGCAGCAACTGGGCAGGTTCCAGAACTTTCAGCTCTTGCTCTTATTCCTTGTCCTAACAATCCATTCACCAGAAGCTTGATCTTGGACATTAACTCATTTTGGGAGGAAGAAAGCTAGGGCTGTTATGACATTTAATGTTTAAAATATGTACCTATCTCAGAAATAAAACAACAACATCAAAGATATACTATCTACTGAAAACAATGAATCGGCTGAAGAGGAAATGGTCAGGATGAATAGAAGAATAATTTACCAAAGGTGCAAGCATTCTTCAGAAAATAAAAGGTACTTTTATTATGAAACAAGACAATATATAATACAGAAACAACAATATATAATAGAATGTCCATACTTAGAAAAGAATTAAATAGCAATAAATAAAACAATACAAAGAATAAAAGTGAGATATGGTCAAACAGATAATGGATTTTAAGTTAGACATTGAGGTCCAGTGAATCTTCTAAAAGGCAATAGCAACGAAAATTTTAAAACACAGAAGCCTAGTGAAAACAAAAATTAAAATTTCACAAAATGGGAGAAAGTAGAAGTACAAACGTCTGAACAAGTAAGGAAAATTCATAGATTCTATGAAAAATGAAAGATAAAAACAGTTATAACAACAGAATGCTAAAATCTAGTTAACCTCAAGCTTCTTGAGGAATAGCAGATTTCCAGGATGTAAGCTGAGAAATTAGTTCATGTTGTAAAAGAAGTCAGATATCAACAATAGAGACAGATATGAGCTAAACTTGTAAATATTTGAATATATGGATTTCAAGTTTGGGGCAATCATAATTGCAGGAAAAGTGTGTATGTTACATTTAAATGGCCACCAATGGGAAATTGAAATCAATAAACTAATTTGAAAATGATTTTAAAAACCGAAGATAACAATTAAGAAAAACAAAAGAAACAAGTTGGACTATAGCAGAAGTAACAGAAAAGGTAAATTATTTAAACCCACAAAGAAAGGACATAGTGTTTGAGTCATTTAAAAGTAATATCAAAACATATGATTTGTTGACTGCAGGGAAAATTTAAAAACTAAAAGGTTTACGATGGTTAAACTCACTGGGTCACAAAAGAACAAAAATATAGGAATGTGAGGGAGGGGATGTAAGCATGGTGAGAGAGAAAGAGTGGAGGCAAGAGAAGCCTGAACATATTATATAAATACAAAGAGTAAGTCCAATAAAAAGCAAAATTATAAAAGGGTGGGGTCTTTTTCTGGTAGGCTATTTAACTAGAGGATCAATTATAAAAATAAAACACATGAATTAATTTCATGTTCTTTTCCCAAAATTGGATTAATTACAAAGAGATCTAAAGATGTAAAAATAAGTAAGATATACAAATATTTAAAATTAAAGTAAGAAAAATATGCAAAAATATGGGAATAGGTAGGGAGTAGATGCGAATCTTAGTCACAGTCTGGATGCATTATTAGTGATTAATCAGATCATTAGTAAAACAGAATTAGGGGACGAGGAATGTGTAACAATAATAAACATACACTCCCCCAACATAAGCCCTCCCTCTCCCAAATAATTCAAACTATGTAATAACATTAGATAAACCAATAGTTAGAATAATAGGCTTTGCCAAAGACTAAGAGAACTATTCATTAAGAAAGAATAAGGTTATTAATCTTGTCGATTTTTGAAGAAAACTAACAAAATGAAAACAAATAATATTATTTTATGAAACATATGAAGTAAATTATCAAAGTAAAGTATACATTTGTTAACAAAAAGCCAAATTTTCCTGAGTAACCATTATCATATAGTCTATATTTCCTAACCAAATTTCATTAACGTTTAGACCTAATATAACAACACTCTATGAAAATAAAATAATGAAGTACTACATTACTTTGAATTAGAGAGTATTATGAGTTATTTAGTTAATGATGACAATTAAAATGCCTAAGGTAAGAATGCTCAGACTGTCAATTACTAATATTTTATATATGCTAACCTATCAACAAATGCTAGCAAGGTTGGGAACATTTTCATATTCCTGCTGGAATGTAAATTGATATAATCATTATGGAAATCACTATGCAGGCTTCTCAGAAGACTGAGAATAGAAATATATAGAACTAGCTATTATGACTCCTGCCCACATACCCGACAGACTCCTGATCAACATACCATGGAAATACTTGCACAGCCATGTTTGCTGTTGTACTAGTCACAATAGTTAAAAAATGGAAGTACCCTAGATGTTCATTGACAGATGAGTGGGTAAAGAAAATGTGACATATGCACAAATGGAAATTTATTAAGCAGTAAGAATGAAATAATCACATTTTAAGAAAATAGGAGTGCAGGTGGGCACCATTATGTTAAATGAGTGTGTGTAGGTATGTGTGTCTATATGTGCATGTGTTTGTTTGTGTGTGTGTGTGCATGTATATGCCTGTGTGTATCTCTATGTGTCTGTATGTGCCTGTATATCTGTATATATGAATGTGTATGTGTATCTATGTGTTTCTGTGTGTCTCTTTTTCTGTACATATCTGTATATATCTCTGTGTGTCTCTTTGTGCACATGTGTCTGTGTGAATATTTGTGTGTGTCTGTATGAGTCTCTCTGTATGTATATGTCTCTGTATGGTGTATCTATGTGTGCATGACTGTATTAGTCTGTGTGTGTTTGTCTTAATCCGTATATCTCTTTGTGTTTATCTGTGTGTGATGAAGTAGAAAGCATATGTGGAAGATGAGAACTTGCAGGATGGAAGAGGGAAGTATAAAAAAGTATATCAATGATACCCATATGACTATAAAGGCATAATTGGTGCACTCGTGGCATAAATGCATGTTAATGTCACATTGACACAAAGGCAGAAAACAAAGATTTAGGGGGAAGGACTATTAAAGAAAGGGTA